TCAATAGAGATATTCAAGATGGAAAAGTCCTAATAGTTAGTAGGAAACCAAAATTCAAGGTCTCTCCAACCTTCAAAGCAGAGCAAGTGTTTCTCAGGAAACGAACGTGTCTTAGAGATTTCAGCGGGGCCCCCGGACAGTGGTGCCCCCTCCTTCATGCTCCACACCTGGTGTGGACCCCCCTCCCTGCCTGGACATCACCCTGCAGGCAGCTTTACCTGGCCAGTGGCTGGACCAGGTGCAGGTTGAAATTGGACTCTGTAACATATGACCCGATTTACACATCTATATATTGTAATCACACTGTTTAGCTATTTTATTTTATTTTATATATTTTTAAATAATATCAGATTATTCTTTTTTTTGTTTGTTTGATGTGGACCATTTTTAAAGTCTTTATTGAATTTGTTATAATATTGCTTCTGTCTTATGTTTTGGTTTTTTTGCCACGAGGCATATGGGATCTTAGCTCCCCGATCAGGGATCGAACTCGCACCCCCTGCATTGGAAGGCAAAGTCCTAACCACTGGACCGCCAGGGAAGTCCCTGTTTAACTATTTTAAATAATACTTTTACTTAGGTTTCCTGCTTGCAATACAAGGGGGATTGTTTTTTTCTTTTAGCTCATGCTGTAATGTAAAAATGGCAAGGCAGTTGTACTCATAATTGCAAATTTGTTTAATTAAAATTACATTCAGTTGTGCTGACACACTTTTAAGCAACTGTGAAAAATAGCTATTATGATCTGTTGGTATGCTGCCTTGAGTGGCTAATAATTTTAGTTAGAAGGAGGTTTTAGTTCTTTATCATCACCAAACTTGAACATTAAAGTTTGAGTGAAACAGTATCAATAATTTTAAACCGTTATATTTGTTTATCAGTTGGGCCTTTGCATTATGTTTTTAAAATCAGTTTCTCACCCTATCCCCCAATAAAGATAAGGGAGTTTTATCTATTAAGGATCACATGGGAGTGTTCTATGGAAAAATAGATCCAATCAGTCCACAGCAGATGTAAGGGGGGCCTGTCTTCACAAGTGTCACTTGCTCCCCGGAGATTGGGTCGTGGTTTCTGGAGCTCAGTTGATCTGCAATGGCTACACGATGTGGTTTTGTCATATTCTGTCTTATTTCTTATAAGTCCTGGGAGGAATGGACTGCATGGTCACTCGGGGCTGGCGGGCCTTCACGGAGCAGTGCGCTGGCCCTGGAGGCTGCCCCAGCTTCAGGTCCTGGCTTTGTCACCTGGTGGCTGTGGGACTTTGAGCAAGTTCCTTTCTCTCTCTGAGTTTCTTTGTCTTTACAATGGAATTAAGGTTAGAACCTACCTTAAAGGTTATTTTGCAGGGCCTGGCACCTACATATACAGAATTAACTACTGTTGGCGGTGGTGATGAGATCCTAGTGGTGAGTTTCTTCTGGGAGAAACTAATTGTAATTGAATGTAAGCACTAACTACACACGCAGAGCAGCAAAGCTTCCAGCTAGAAGGTTTGCGTGTTATGTTTACCGTAGTTAAGCTCATACTCAAAAGAGGCGTACAGCTGCTTGATGATAATAAACAACAAAATCGCTTTCTTGAGGTCTAATTGCTTTGGATAGGAAGAGGAGAAAAGAAGGTAGAGGATATTTTGAAAGAAAAAAGTGTGATGGGGTTTAAGATCTGAGAAGGAATTGTTTTAACACCTTAAGAAAAGGTTGCAATGTACTTTTTCTTTTCTGAGCACAATAAATGCTTTAGGCGGTTTGATATTATTGGTTTGATATTATCGGTAGAGGAGATGGGACGAAACAACAGAATTGGACTCTGCAGCCAGCACATCTGTTTGCAGGGCGCTATCTCATGAGACTTCCATTCTGGACAGGCCCTGCATCTGTGTTTCTCAGGGTTTTGATTCTGGACAGAAGTCTGCCCCGTAGAGTCTTAAATTCCACAGGGACCCTGCACAAGACAGCCGTATTCTGACCTGGAGTTCAGTGAGCAGCTGATTTGATGATATAAGCGATTACCAAATAGTTGCCATCAGTGTCCATGAAACAGGGGAGATCAGTCATTTTTAGGAGATGACGCTCTTTTGCCATCATCTATTGGTGTTTTAAAATCTATCTCATGGTAAAATAATTTCCAAAGCACATCAACCATTAGATGTCTTTTAAAATAGCATTGTTACACTAATTTACAAAAAGCATTGTGGCCTGAGCATGAGACTTATTCAGGAGCCCCGAGGGCACGGGGCGCGGCCTGCCGAGCCCGTGCACTGCAGGATAAAGTCCTACTTCCTCAAGACATTTCTCTAGCGTCCCTGTGCCATCAGTCGATGGGCTGTCAGTGTTCTCACCCAGCTTCTCTCTCATCTGGACGAGCCACTGGTTCCTCACCTAGAAACTTGGTGTCATAACCCTACCTTAAAAGCAGCATTGTAAAGTCTAAAATGAAATGAAGTTCGTAAAAGTACATCCAAATACTGTTTAAAGCAGAGTGATTGAATTTTTAATTTTAACACGTGTCCTGCAGCCTTCTTTGTGGCTGCGGACATATTCCCAGTGCGTGGTGCTCTGTATGTCGTGTCCTGTCATGGGAGTTATCACGTAATGTAACCGGAAGCCATATTGTTCTCAGTCATTATTTGGAATTTGCATATGAAATGTTAACGATGTTCGTACTTTGCACTTAACTCCTGAAGATTTGCACTCATCTGGGAATCCCATCAGGTGTGTTCAGAATATCTTTGGGGATTTTCAGGAATGAAAAGTAGATTGATTCTTCTTGCTTAGGTAGAGTGAACTGGTTCAGAGTTTATCAGACCGTTTGCATAAATGCCCTGTAGGGAACTCTGAGGTGCCTGGGAAAGGCCACGTTGTCTTGTAAATTGGGGAATCAGACCTACCTTCCTGTCTTCCTTACTAGACATCTGGTTCTTTATCTGCAAATGGTTCAGTGAGAACAGTGCCAGTGAGGCCCCTGAGGTGCAGGGCCTCGAGAAGGTGTCTGTGTACTTGCAGACTGCACTGACTGACAGGCAGGGTCCTCGAGAACCAGCCTGTCACTCACCATTACCGACGTGGTTGGCGCCCCTACACTGGTGTCTGCAGCTGCGCATTTGCTGCTTCAGGTCTGGGCGTCTTCGAAGGCTCACCTGCCTTCTTCTCCTTGTTCTGAGCAGAGTGCCCAAGGGTCACATACTTCCCTAAGGTAAGGTGTCTCTAATCAACAATCAACCCTCAAATATTCTGGAGGGTTTTGAATAATCCTTTTTTTTAAAATCATGCTCCATTTTGCTGCTATCTGCTTCACTCCTGGACTAAGTTTTTAAAGGTTGTATCTCCAAGGTAATGTTGAACTTTTTCATGAGTATGTGTCTTTCAAGTCTCTTTTTCCTATAATCCTATGTGGGCAATTTAATTAGGGTGTGTGTGTGTGTGTGTGCGCACGCGCGCACACAGACGCAGGGACTATGGAGTACCTGTTCTGTATGAGCTACTGTATTATATGCTGGTACAGTGGGAGGACTGAGGCTCAGAGAGTCTAAGTCGCTGGCCTGAGGTCACACAGCTGTTAAGTGGTCATGGCAAGACTTAAAGAAGACACATCAGCTCCCACTTTGCTTCAGATCATGCAGAACCGCCAAATCAAATCTGGGCATTGGCCGTCTCCCACCCCTCCCCCCGCATCGGATGAAACACCTGAATCTTATTTTTCCAGGTCATTGTAATAGACCCGAGGCCTGGCTTGCTCACATAGTAACTAACAACAGAGGTTTCATGCAGAGGCTTCTAACAGCAGAGGCTTCACGACCAGAGCAGCTGGGGACAGGCCACCTCCTCTTCCTGTTGGAAGGGGCGCGGTGAGGAGGGCAAACAGCCCTTTCAGAAGATTGTCCTTATTTTCAAAACCCCATTCTTCTCCCTGGCGCTCTTCATCCCCACGGTGGTGTGTCATCACAGAGTCACGAGCAGGGGGCACACCAGCAGCTCTGTCCCACAGGGGTCTCTGTAACTGAGCTGTCCATTGGATTTTGCACGTCAACAGTCTAAGGACAGCACACTCCCAGGCTCTGTTCCCTTGATGCCAAGGTCAGGGAATGAAACGCAGGACTGATGATACCCAGGGAACTAATACAGAAGATGCTTCCCTATCCACCGTGGCTATCTGTGGGTCACCACACACACCAAGCCTGGGTTACCAGGTACCAGAGTTCAAATACACAGGCTGCCAGGCAAACACCTCCACGATGCAACTCAAGGATGACTTTCTTTAGGGAACCTTTCATGATACCCCTGTCCTCTGAGGAGAGCTGTTTATCTTTGGTGTGCATTGTACCTACGTGTCTGTCACTAACACTGTGTTGCACTTCGCGTTTTCATCTCTCTCACTAGACTAGACCCTCGAGGGCTGGAATCTTGTCTTCTTGGTCTGTCGTCCTCAGTGCTTACCATAATGATTGGACATTTAGTAAATATCCATTAAATGAATAAAAGTCCCTTAGCCAAAGTCTTATGCTAATACTATCGATACATGCATACGTATGTGTGTAAATGCATATGTGTGGATAAAATGCATATATATAATACATATTTTAGACACCTGCATAGAAAACTATAAATGTAGCACAGTACAGGCTTAAGCTTGAACTCTAATTGAGCCAGGACAATCCATGTGTAGTGTGCTCCTGAATCATGTAAATCCCTGATACGACTTTCTCTTTCAGTCACTTGTCCATTGTTTAAGCTTTCTGATTATTCGGAGTAAGGACTACTGATGGTTTACTCCAAGATAAAACTTTTATTCTGAAAATAATATTTTCACTTTAAAAACCTTTTGGAATATCTGAGATCATTCTTTCCCCATCTAAAGCAGTAACTGAGGGTTGATGTAATATATCCTGTGTTTGCCCCTGTGTGTGGAATCTAACCTAGCACCTCTGGAAGAAGAATGGAAGAGGGTTTCTTCAAATGTCAAAAAAAAGAAACTAGAACTTCCTCCTGTGCAACTCTCTCCAGCTTCTGTCTGACCTTGGATGCCTGCTCTCCAGGACGAGATGAGAGGGTAATTTGCACAGCTGTAAACAGCGTAAAGGAAGCCGGCTTTGGGGTACATTGTGCTGTGCGGGTGCTTGTCATCGAGTCCAGCGTGCTGGAGGGCAGCACAGAAGGATGGGGCCCGTGGTAAACTCACCGGACGCATCAAACCCTCCGCAGCCCAGTTCACGTCTTCAGAAGTCTGTCTGTGTCCTCGTGATACTCACCCGGCAGCCTTGATGGGCACATCCACCCTGGCTCTGGTGGGGTCTGGCCCTGCAACACAGAGCATCTTGACCTGAGCATGGCTTCATCCCAGAGAGATGGGATCGAAGAAAATGCCATTATGAGCTCAGAACATGAGCTTCAGTAAAAAAAAAAAAAAAAAGTGGCTTTTTAAAGAAATGTTTATTTCAGGCTAATTAAGGAAATAAATAGCCCCACTCTAAGAAAAACTCTTAACTCCCTTATGATCTACCTTCACGCACACAAAAATTTTCTTCCAGGAGGAGGGAGCAAATGTACGTGGGTGAGACAAAGAACCAAAATAATAATCCAGCTTTGATCAAAACCCCTTGTTCAGCATTCCCTCTGAAAATGATTTCTAATCAATGAGTGCTACCACAGCGCTTACATGTGTTTCACTCTGAGCTGTGATTAGAAACAAGATGTGAGATCCAAGGGGCAGAAAAGGAGGATAAGAAGGAAAAGTCTAACCTAGGTGCTGATATGCACAGGCTGTGGGCTATTTCATAAGCATGGAGGCTGCTCCAGGTGGGGATGTCAACATCCGTTCATCCCCTGGCAAACATGTCCCCGCTCTTTGGGGCAGCATCTGTGATGGCCGCAGGATGCCCTGCTACACAAAGGTGAGGCAACCAGCTGGCTCTCGTGAAAGCGTTCGTTCTGGCAGCAGGGAGGCATTTGGGCCGCTAGACCACCTTCTCGCCCGGTATCCAGGAGGTCGGGGGCCAGCTCGGTACACAGTCTCCAGCCCACGCAGTAGTTGAACCTGGTCTTTATTAGTCCAAGAAGCGACACAGGGGCCTGGGAAAGGGAGTAAAAGCCTTGGAACAATTCTACCTGTGAAAGGAAAACGCGAGAAGAGGCGAGGGACGAGTAGGTGGCGGTGGGGTGATTGAGAAGGCGAGGACCACGCGGTTTCTGTCAAGGAGACAGGAGGTCTGTGGCCCCAAGTGCTTGCGGGCTGAGAACAAGTGCCCGGACTCTTAAGAACATACGAGGAAAGTATGATGAAAACACGTGCACCCGGAGAAGCAGAAGCCTTCTTTATGGCGACAGTCGCCTGCGAGGCAATGGTGGGCAGGGAAGGTTGTCCCCATTTGTCAGCGAGACAGGAGCCCTCTGCCCACGGTCACAGCACAGCCCCTTCCTTCCGTTGCGAGGGGCCAGTCGTGTATATTGGTTCCTTTTAGCCCTTGTCTCCAATAGCTAGAAGGCTGTCAGCAGGTCCACCCGTGTGATCTTGCTTGCTCAGCCACGTGGTTCCCTTGGAAGCGTTCTCGCCCGGCGATGCTCTCCCCAGAGAAAAGCCTGGACGCGCCAGGGTTTGATCTTCCCGTTTTAACTCAGCGTCAATGGCTAGCTCACGTGATGACCTGCATTCCTACTCCCAGTAGGTAATAATATAGTTTTTAAAATTTTTACCCTCTGAAAAAGGACTGAAAGAAGCTAAAATGAATGACAGGTTTATTTTAGTGATCGTTCTCTGAATATGTTTACAAATGGGAATGGCTACAAACTCAGGTCATCTTAATGAAAATAGACTCAGTAAACCCTTAGTTGACTCAGATCTTAGGATTCTGAAGCAGCGATACTTAGGCACAGAACAGCGCTTCACTGAACGTCTTTGCAGTAAAACCGACTGACTTGGATAAGATGTCCTCCCCACTTCAAAGGTGCTTAACTTCTTCTCAGATTATCCTGCAGACCTTTCACCCATTAATAAATATTAGCAACCACTGAAACTGAATGACAGTCATTCTGCCTCTGGTGTAAAACTGGGTTCTGCCCAGGCTGCCCTTACCTGCTTGCAGGCAGAGTTAAAACAGCCAGAATGGGCTTTTAGCATCCAAGGAGGAATTTGGCCAAGGCTCTGGGCCAGTGCATCTGCTGATAGTTTAGATTTATTTAATTAGAGTCACAAGCAAAGAAAACTGAGCCTTGGGGTCGGTTTGAATATTACCTTGGAGGAGAGCGTAAAGAGATGAACAGACCCCAGGGCGGGAGGAGGGAGTGTGGCCGGCTCCTCCCTTGGTCCCTACATGGTCCCCACAGCCTGGCCGAGCTTTGCAGATTCATCCCCGCAGGACCAGAGTCCCAGCCCAACAGCAGACGTGCCTTTTGTTCAGGGCCACGCGGTGATATTCCTGCTTCATCGTCCTCTGATGTCTCCTCCATGGGTGTGAAACTGCAGCAGAAATGAAGCTGGTGTGGGTGGAGGCTTTCAAGTTGAAGGGGGCCTGAGAACCAGGGGGATTGGGTCCGGTCAGACAGGGCCTTTGTCTTGGCAAATGTGTGTCTGGCACAGGGGGCTGCTTTGAATCAAGCTGGTGTTTCAAAAAATCGGCACGTGTGAAATATTAAAATTAACTGCCCGGCCTCATATGTTTCCGTAGGCTCTAGGATAAATAAACCGCGTGTTGCAACAAAGAACATTTTCCGCACTCTCATTGTTTAGTGCCATGTGGCGATTGATGGTCTCACACTTCATTCAAAGAGTGAGGCATTTCTACATGTTTTTTACTTACTAGTTAATTGGAATTAGGGTGTTGCAAGGAGGCCATCCTGTTTTCAGGTCCAGCTGTTGTTTTAAATGAAAACCTCATGGTTTGGTGGGTTGAGATGAGGGTGAGTTTTCGTGTAGAGTAGAGGTGGGGAGACACAGGATGGGAATGGGAAGGTTTTCTTGGGGTTACTTGGTGCCCGTAATTCTGACTCTTAATGGCATTCTTATTCCCACGGCCACTCGCTGTCCTCAGAACGTGTCTCCTGCTGCCCTTCGTATCGAGGCTACAGTGTTACGACGAGAATTAGGTTAGGGAAGGACACGTCTGGGCTGCGGTGGCTCTGCCACTCACCAGCCGTGTGGCCTTGGACAAGCCCCTTAACACCTGAGAGCTCACTTCCTGGCTGTGAAGTGAGGGGTGGGATCATTCTGTGTCCCCGTCCACTCCAGCCTTGCCAGGCACCTCTGCTTTAGAAAAGAGGAAGCCTTGTAAGAAGAATGCCCAGTAGGGTTTGGATTATGAATCTGTTTACGAAAACTAGTTCCTCGTAACTGTCTTCAGCAGAGGTACCTTGGGAGGAGAGAGGAAACCCCCACGTCTGCATTGCTTGCTGCCAGCGTTTGAGATGCAGGCACAGCACAATGGAAACACGGACCCCGATGTACTTTAGGTTTGGTCTGGTTTGCTGCGCTCCTCACCCACAGGTAGGAAGGGTACAGCTGTTCTCTGCGGTAAGCTATCTTTTACCAGGGAGGGTCTTTGCCCTCATCCCATTCCAAGCAGGGAGCTTGACTGCCCACCTTCTTCCGCCTCCTCTTTCCTCCTTCCTGGTCGGGACCAACGTCTTCTTATTCATCTTTGTACCCTGAGCAGAGTGTTTGGCACAGAGCAGATCTTCAGGATATATTGGTTGACTGCCTTGGTTCGAAGTAAGCCAGGAAGATGAGAAGGAATACTGGAAATTAAAACTGAAATTTAACATAATCAGCTATGTCCTCAAAGTCAAATGGAATTAACATTACAAGGTAGGAAAGACAGAGCGTGCATCCGTTTACCAGCTGGACCTGCGTGAGTGTTGATTAGAATTATCGGGGAAGTTTCGGTGTTTGATTGATGGCCTCTGATGTCTGTATCACCATGGAAAATATATAACTTATTCTGTCAAACTCATCCAAATCACTGCCTTCTTCATTTGGAAAGTTAGAGAAGCCTGTCCCTTTAATATGTGAGGCGCCGCACATGAATCCAATTGAATAAGAACAGGTTCAGGGTAAAGCCTGATGCGTCCCTGCGGAGGGGCAGGTGCTGAGACGATGAGAATTAAACGTGGGTAGAACACAAGCACGTGCTGACCTCCATGGGATCACCAAGTGCGATCCCACCGCACGTCCCAAACAAGCGCGTGACCCAAACAAACTGCTGGGATCTCCCCCTTTCTGCCGCTCCTGCGATTGGCTTGTAACCTGATGGTTAAGAGCTTGAAATCAGGAGCCAGAAAGCCTGGGTTCAAATCACAGCTCTCTGGGGGGAGCCTCCTCCTCCTGGGTGGGTGCTGCCCCAGGGCCTCTCCCTCCCCTCCTGGAGGACGGGCCGTTCACAGGGTGAAGGAGTGGGGGGAGTACGTGTCCTTCCTCGGTTCCTACTTGATGAGCGGTTCCTACTTGATGAGCGCCAAAACTCCTTACCCTCCTTTCTGATGCTTTCTTTCTTAATCTTTGCCTCCTCTCTCTCTCTCTCTCTCTCTCTCTCTCTCTCTCTCTCTCTCTGTCTTTTTTTTTTTTCTGTCCCTCTACCCTTCAAATAATTCAAATCCTTTAGGTTAGATTTTGGGGTTTTCTTTACCCAACTCTATTTGAGGCATATCATTCAAGTCTGCTACCATTTAAAATTTTTCTTTATGGCATTTTTTTAGTTATGTAAAAATATTCTTTATTAGCATGTTCAGTGTCTAAGCTAACGCTAAGATGCTAGTTTAGGGATGAGAACTTGGAACTGCCCTGCTGTGTCCCCAGGGGGCCCAGGCACTTAGTGGGCACCTGGTCCCTCATTGCCGAGCAATGAATGCTGCATAAAATGACGTCATCCTGTAGATTCGTGATGTCTGTGGGTTAATAGTCAGGGCTGGGATTCAGGAGCGCCTCATTATTCCGTCTCAACAGTCTTATCACAAAATGTTTTAAAAAATCACCGAAGCACACCATGTCCCAGTTTGTCAGAGGGTTAATTTCTGTCGTTACGATGGTGCTTGGTAAACCTCCTTGAATTAATGAGTCTTGCAGAGTTCTGGCTGATGTGAAAAGGTATATAGTTAGCATCTGTTTGTTCTCTGCATATATCTCTCATCCTTGCTGTACATCTATTTTAAGGAACATTTCTTTGGGTGCTGTGTTTTTTTCTATTTATGTCTTCAGCATAAAAATATAAATAGATCGTTTATCTCCGGTATCCTTCAAGTAGCTTGCATCATTTCACACTTTTACATAACCAAAGTTTCTGTCCCCGGTATACATTGTTTGGGAAATTTGAGTGGTTGGGAACAGCCTTAGGAACCCAGAGGCCAGCTTCCAGGGCCCCCGAGGCTCACTGCGGGGCCGGGAGCTGCGCGCGCTGGCCTCCCGCCTCATTCCTGGTTAACACTGTACAGGACACCCGTGCTCTTCACCCCACCTGGCACCTGGCCAGAAACCGTTTAAAGATAGACATGATTTTTGCTCATTCCCGTTTCCTCCACAAAATATAACATAACTCTCTAAACATAGTTGATGTTTTAATAAATCTTCAGTGAATTTGTGACATAAACATTTCTTTTTTATTAAGGTATAATTGACATATAACATTATATTAGTCTCAGGTGTAACAGAATAATGAGTCAGTGTTGGTATGTATTACAAAATGATCACCACAGCAAGAGTAGTTCACATCCGTCATCATGCATAGTTACAGTTTTTTCTTGTGCATAAATATTTCTTGAATGTGATAATAGCAGGAAAAATAAAATACGAGCTAGTGTTTATTAACTGTGCACTGCTGGGTATTATAATTAATGTGTAACACACAGTATCTCATTTAAACCGATGGCAACTCAATAAAGTGTATGCTGTGACTATTACCATTTTATAGATGAGAAAGCAAGGCTTGGAGAACTATGTAACTTGCCCAAAGTCCGCACAGGTAGTAAGTGACAGAGATTTGAACCCCAGCCTGTGTGATTCTAGAGCCTGTGCTCTTACCCACTTGCTATAGAGAAGTGATTGATCTGCTCGGGACCCATAGGGCAAGCTTGTCAAACAGGGTCTAGGGTTGATCAGGAGATAAAGCAATGGCTGTTGGTGCGTGAGACCTAAAAGTGTCCCTCTCTTGCCTTTTTGGTAAAAAAGACCCCAGACATTTTCTGAGAAGGAATTTGTTTGATTTCTCAGAAATCTTTTGAGCACCAGAGGAGGTGACAGTTGGCATCCTTATGCCTAGGCCAGGGCCCCACTGTTGGGAGCCATTCCCTTCCCTGTCAGCCACCCTTTCAAACTAAGGGCAGAGGGCAGAGCCTGGGCTGTGGGTAGGATTCAGGGAGTGACCGTGGAGGGCGTTCAGGACACGGTGTGGAACGGGGAGTGGCAACAGCAGACGCCGGGAGTCGCCGGAATCTCCCGGGGCCGGTAGTTTTTAGGCTGGTGCCGATTTCAGGGGGCAGATCTCCAGCAGTAAGCTCCAGATGGATGAGGCCCCGTGCTCTTAGGGAGAGGCCGTGAGCTGTCCTGGAAAGGGCTGGGCTTCAGATCAGGCAGACCTGAGATCAGGTTCTGATTTCTTTTTCACTGGTTTCGTGAACTTCAACAAATTACCCTCTCCTGGTACTTCCGTTACCTTACCCAGGGCGTACGGTTAATAGACTTTTGATTAAAGATGGCAGATGGAACACAAGCCTTAACCTCAGTTACCTCTCAAGATGCTATAACAGTAACAGTAAAGGGGTTTTGGGTTTGCTTTTTTTTTGAGGTGTAAATTAATCAAGGACCAGGTGATGGGAGGCTACGTCAGCAACGTAATTTTGGAAGCTGAAAAGCAGATGGTGAAGTGGTAGCTACTTGAAGCAGACCCAGAAGTGCCGAAATCCATGTGGGCAGTGGGGAGAGTCAGGATGGAACCCCACTTAAACTAGAGTGAGCCCCAAAGGTGCAGGGATCAGAAGTACAGTTTCCCCTTGGGGGCCGGGGGTAAAGGTGGAGCTAAAACAGAGCCGTCAGCTGAAAGTGTGCTGAGAGGCAGAACCCCAGGTTTTCCAGTTACTGACAGGCCTTCATCTTGGTAGAAATCTGAAGATTTATTCCCTGGAGAGGACAAAGCAGAGAACCCCCAGTTTGGGGGATGAAGTGAACGTTTACTAGCTGGATGTTGAGACCCCTGACTCCTTCCCTGTCTCGCCTCCCTGGACACTGGGCACTGGGGGATCTCACCAACCTGTGGGAAAAGGGCTTAATATACGGGCATCAGGGGTTCCCCAAGAAACGGAGCACGCAGATTACCCTCTAGTGAGCCCCAGCTCTCCACGGCGTGAGCGCCCAGGACGCCAGAGGCTCACTCTGAAATGCGAGCACACGTCCGAGAAATAACCAGGCATTTCCAAAGTAGGACTGAAACCAAACAGGAAATGCAGATGGCAGGAAGCATAGACTGTGGAGGGAGAAGGAGACATGAAAAAAAGAGCTTGCCCTTAACATCCTCAGAGAAGTAAGGGATGAGCGTGCATTTAGTAAGGAAAGCAGAAAAGATTCTCTATACAGTGGAATATTCAGAGAGCAAAAAGGAGTGCTTGAAAAGCAGAAAAGTGATCACAGAAATGTAGAAGTCAGCAGAAGGGCTGAAAACTAAAGCTGAGTTCTTCAAGAAAGAAAAAGAAAATTTTAGAGAAAACATAAGAAAACTAGAGCATGATGCAGGAAGTCCAACAACCAAAGAAGAAGAGAGCAAAGAGAGGGGAGGAGCTCCTCAAACAGATAATGAAGGAAAGTCTCTCAGAACCCAAGGCTGTGGGTCTCCACATCGACAGGACTCCCTGAGCACCCAGTGCAGTGAGCAAATGAGAGCCAGGAAGTGATGGCGATGGAGTGACGGGGGTGGGAGTGGGGGGATGGAGTGAGGAGGGGGGCCTGATGGGGGGAGGGAGCGGGGGGCGGGGCGGAGCGCCTGGGGGCCTGACACAGTGACGGAGGCCCAGAGAACAGCCTGGAAGCCGAGCAAGGGAGAGCGTGAGCCAGGAGCTATCAGGGCTTCACAGGTCCTGGCAGCAGCCCTGGGGGCCAGAAGAGCAGTGCCTTCAAAAGCGTGAACGAAAATGATTTTCAGCCTGGAATCCAGAGCTCGGCCATACTGTCCATCAAACCTGAGGGTAGAAGAGCAATACTTTCCGAATCTAGAGGGCAGGCCCACCCGAAATGAGAGGTAAGACAAGGCAGGACCCAGGAAGCAGGAGAAGGTGCACCGGAGGAAGGCCACGGGCATCCCCAGCGTGAGGAGAACGGCCATCCCAAAGCCCCTGCTGGAAGCGGCCTTCCCGAGGGTGGTCCGACAGGCTGGGAGCAGATCAGAAGGGTCCAGGATGTGCTGGGTACCTAGTAACAGTCATCCCCGTTTACATGTACCGAGAACCCACTGTGTGTCAGACACAGCTCTAAGCGTACATGTAGTAACAGTTGATCCTGGTAGCATCCCTGTTAGACTGATGGTCATGATTATCTTCCTTGTGCAGATGAGGGAATTGAGGCACTCGATGCTCAAATAATTTGCCAAGTTACAGAGCTCGTTAGTGGCAGGGCCGAGATTTGCGCCCAGGCGGGGTGCACTATAACCCGGCTGTGCGGTCCCTCCCCGCGGGAGCAGAGCATGGGAAGCACACGGTGGCAGAAACAGTGCAGATGGAAAGTCAACGCAGTTATTAAAGGAGGGAAAACAAAGCTGACAGGAAAAGAAAAGTGACCACAGTCTGCTCCACGCAGCAGTGTGCGCACTGACCGGTCAGCCCACCGCTCCTGGGCCGGTGGCGATGAAAGCTTCTTCTTCACAGATATAGAGATAAATGCTAAAGGAATCAATGGGAGGGTTGAGACAGGCCCCCTCTGGGACGCCGACCGGAGGAGTGGGCTGGGGGCTGCTGTCCCTCAGAACAAGCCTTTACAATTGTTTGGTTCTTCAAATATGTGCAGATAAAAATAAAAACTAAATTTCAGAAAGGAAGACTGTGCAGGATGGTTATAAAATAAAGCACTTTCATCTTCCTAGGAACTCAGTAAATGTTCGTTTTCCTCCCTCCTTTTTGTTTCAAGGCCCCACCTTTTCCTCATATACAGAAGTCAGCGCATGGCTCTGTTGACGGACCATTTTCCTCTCAGAATTGCCCAGCTACCCTTCAGTCCTTTCACTGTCTGTCACTGGCATCCAGCAAAGAAAAGTGAGGGCTTCTGTGGACAGAGACCTGTGCTCAGCGCGTGTTAGCATCTGTGGGCCTCATGGGCGCCTGCACTAAGGCACAGAGATGCCCGGACCCAGGGTGCAGCCAGTTCTGTTCGAGAGGCCTCCGGCCTTGATGGGAAGGGCGTTACGAGCATCTCACTGTGTATGAGCAACATGTGTCCAGGGCTTTTCCTGACTGGTGGTGACAGACGAGCTTCCCCCAGACAGTCTGTAAGGAAACGATGGTGTCACAGGTCCTAACAGTTTCTGTTTGGGCCCCTCAAACTAGGGCAAGAGGCCAGCATCTTAAAAGGCAGAGTTTTGGGTTTGTGTGTGTGAAGGAGAGAGAGACAAAATGGGGGTATTTATAAAGCAGGCCATATGCCATTTGTTCAGTGCAGTGTGCGCTGTATTTTTATCTCTTTTTACCTCAATGATGAGGAACGCCTGCTAATTAGTAAATCTAGTCATACATCTGTGTATATCCACATATATCTATATTAACATCGAGGTTTATATGTTTATATTTAAAATGCTTCCCACTTCTGACAAAAACTTGGGTATTGGTAAACCTGGATCCTCTTAGTGGAGGGTCACTTCTTACTTTAAGTAGTTCTTTCTATATGTGGTAATTAGGAGTTTGAAAAAAGGAATATGTTGATTTGCTATGATCTCCTACTCAGTAATCCAAGTGACCTTTAGATGCAAATCCTATCTCTCCTAAAGAATTAGAGAAAACATGCTTCACTGATTCAAATCTACTGGTATTTATTGAGCACCTACTACGTGGAGGGCTCTGGGTTGGCTGTGGTGGATACGATGATGGATAAGGTAGGCTCAACCCTTAGCCTCTTACCATTTATTTTAGGGAGGAAACTCATACGAATGAAGTGATAGCAACACACATCTGAAAAGAATAGCATCTGAGAGGAATAAACAGCCCCCCCCCGGGGGAGCTCAGAAGGGTAAAGATCTCATTTCGAGGATCAGGGTGAGTTAAGTCTTAGGGAGTTGCCATGTTGTACTTATAAACGAAGCACGTCTCCAGCCTCCTCCCACGCGTTCATTTACTCGTCCCATAAATGCAAGTGTCGACTCTGTGTCGGGGCCCTTTGGGCACTGGGGTTGCAGCAGTGAACAAAGCCCCCTTGATGGCGAGAGCAGCCCAGCTGGACCTCCTTCCGTCAGCGATGTTTAGACAAGAGTTGGAACAGGGTAGATCGCACCTCCTCTGCTCTGACTCTGACTTGCGTTCCAGAGCGGGTCAGAAGTTCCCCGTGTGATGCACACGTGGCATTAACCTTCAGCAAGGCTGGGCAGTCCTTGCCGGCCTCCAGGTTTGGCTGACATAGATGCTCGTATGTAAATACAGGATCAGTGGCACCCTGGGTTCTCTGATAGCATCTTTGACATCACTGGTGGAGTGAGCGGTGCCATCAGATTACAGAAGCTCCTGGTCTGGCCCTTTGGCCACGGAGCCAGAGTCCGATTTAGGGCCCTCAGGCCTTCAAGAAGAGGCAGGAACAGGCAGATGGTGAACGCCAGGGCTGCCCCTGCCCGGCTGGGTCATAGGAGGGCAGGATCTGCTTCGTTGGGTCGTGACATCCTCTCCTGGACCTCCCTATTGCCATGTCCATGTGTTTCCTCCTGGCAGATCATGGTCAGCCAGCTCTTTCCCAGTCCCTCTCTTCAGCGTTAGCTGATCATTTCAGAGAGATTAAGTCAGCATTTCACAATGCTTTCCTGGAGTTGGTATTCAAAATATTTAGCCTTCAAAGACAGATGCTGTCAGACTTATGTATACTTTGTGAGTAATAGCTTGGACTGCATCAGTTGCCCGTAGGGTCGGGGATTAACCAAAGGTTTGGTAAGGGGAACCCTAAGACCAAAAAGCTTTTAAGAGCTGAAATTCTGTGAGGGTGGACCCCAGCCACTGGAGACCAGCAGAAGCTATTTACTTACTTCCTGTGCCTCTCGGTGTGGCGCCCCCCCCCCCACCGTTCTCCACTGTGCCTGAGACCAGTTCGTGGGCACATTTTAGCATCTGTCATTCTAATTATACGCTTTTCTCTCACTGTGTCTTTCTAGCCAAATTTAGTCTTCCTTAAACCCCACAGAGCTGGAGTTCCGAGTATGCGATGTGAGAAAAGCCTCTTTTACCATCTGAGTAATACTCCTTTTCAACTGGATTTATTTTTTTCACTCACTCGTGTGCCCAGGATCTCACCTTTCACCATGTAGGAGGCGAATTAACTGCTGTAATAAATTACCGCAAATTGAGCAGCTTAATACAGATTTATCACCTCTCCACCGTGGAGGTCAGAAGTCTGAAATCGTTTCCCTGGACTACAGATAAGCTGTTGGCAGGGCTGGTTCCTTCTGAGGGTCCGGGGGAGACCACTCACTACCATCCCAGCGTCTAGAGGCCGCCTGCACTCCCCGGCTTCTGGCTTCACATCTCCTGTTGGCTGTGACCCTCCGGCCTTCCTCTCATGATGACCCTCGTGATCACATTGGGCCCACGCAAATGTGCACACCTCCCCATCTCAGGCTCCCTAGCCCCAGTTGCAATTCCCTTTTGCCGTGTAAGGTAATGTATTCACAGGTTCCAGGGATCAGGTGTAGATGCTTTGGGGGGACTATTCTTTCACCTACCGCAGAAGCTAATTTTAAAAACTTTTAAATCAGCTGTTTGTTTCTTTTCCCCTCTTCCGTTCCTAAGTAATTATAGGCTAGGTTTTCCAAATGCATAATATACTTTCAGGTCATAAGTTAAGAGATTTTAGAACACTTCTATTAATTCTTTAAAATAGTTCAGAAACAAATCGACTCTCTTTGAGTGACTGGAGTTATCACTGTGAAATTTGAACTCCCAAGTGCATTGGACATAATCCTAGGGAGTCAGAACCTAGAAAAACCACTGTCTCCACATTCTTGGAAATCGCCTTTTGTCTCTAAGTAAAACGGAGGGTGAGGAAGGACCGTCCGGTCCTTGGCTGTTCCGACACCGTCACTGTCACCATCGTGTTGTGGACTCTTTCCATCTCTGGGAGCCCCCGTTCCTGCTCACGGCCTCACTGCCCTTCCCCGTAGAAACCTGGACCCTTGTTCACGTACACGCTCCCTCCTCTGTCTCCAGGCTTCCGTCTGCCGCCCGTCTACAGTCGGACAACGAGCTTGTTGTAAATGAGAGGAAGTCAGCGGGGTAGACGATGTGCTTGAGCTCAATTGCACGGCCCACTTTCCCTTTCATTCCAATGCTCACCCACCTTCCAGAGCCTGGACACACCCTAGACCAGCAGCGCCTTTCTCCTTAACCTTGTCCTCCAACACGGCTGCTTTAAGCCCCCGTGCGGTGTGTCCCAGTGAGAATGAGAAACGTGAATAGCCAAGACTGCTTGTCTACGTCTTGGTTATCTAATGGGGGTCACCCGATTGGCTTTTGACAGATACCTTACTATTACATAGGTACATTATAGCTACTGAACTGTTACCTATTTTACATATTATTTTGGAATATATATACGTATAATGTATGTATACATGTTATATATGTGTATTTTACAGGCATTGTATATGTATATACATATAATAATATATAAAAATATATAGTAATATGTGAAAGCATTGAAAATTCTTTTCAGTTGTTCTCCCCTCATTCT